GTGGACTACAGCCCACTTCTTCGGAGTCCACGAAAGCTTATGCTCTAATAAATTTGTTAGTCTCTAAGGTGCCACAAGTACTCCTGTTCTTCTTTTTGCGGATACAGACTAACACGGCTGTTACTCTGAAACCTGTCAACTGCTAATGAATTTCAATATCTTACTTCCAGGCAAACAATGAAGTATCTCCTGGTATACCCCAGGGTCAATAAGAGCAGAGTTTGGGGTCATGTCTTCATGATCCAGAGAAGAACAAGAGGAGTCAGCAAGCTGGAGACATAGAACTTGAAGGGAAATGATAGATGGAGAGGTTTGTGGAGCCCCAATATCTGACTCTCACCAAACTGCTTCTGGCAGGCAGAAATCACTTGTTAAACAGAATGGTACATGCATGCCAAGAACCATGGAAAGGATTTCACAACTGCAGAGACTACATTTCAGGAAAGATTTATTTTATGGTGATCTTAAATTTTTCCCTCTGTTGCTTGTGCCATTCCACCGAATATCGAAAAGAGATTTAGCGATGCTTTTGTGGTGCTTTTTCAAATAAACATTTAATTAGCTGGCAAAGCATCCTTTCAATTAGACGCCATTAGATGATTTCAAACCTATCCCTGGAGGATTGACAGCTGAGTAAGGAATATGAACACCTGAATAAATTTGCTGTTAAGTACCCATTGGTATTTAGTTAATAAGATGCAATAGGATGTAAACTCTAAATGAAACATGAGATGAAAATGTAATACATGTTTTTAGTATCACTCAATCAACTCTGGAAAGTAGCATATGTCTATCCCATTGTGAAGTTGCCTGATGATACATTTTTTAATTACTTGATCATCTGCTATTTTTTCCACTGCACTCCTGCCTCCTTCAGGACACAGAGGGGTAGAATTAAGGTTGCACCAACAACCATAAATCTGGCATTTCCTAACTTTTGAATGCTTGACTTTACAACCTAACTAATTGTCTCTGAATGTAGCTTTTTGTATGTAATACATATAGGTGGCATTTCCCCCCTCTATATAGAATGTATATTTACACTAAAGCCACTTTATTCCAATTGAGTCATGGAAAGACACACAAATCCCACTTTGAGTATGTCTACAGTGCAGCTGGGAGCGAATGAATTGACAGCTTGTAAGCTCCCTGAGAGTGCACATTCCTTCTGTCTGACATTCCCCAGTTATTCGTGCTGAGAGAGAGCAATTGGCAGGAGCTGGCTGGGAAGAAATCAAGGTTTCAGTGTGTTTATTTAGAACCATAGAATCATAGAACTGGAAGGGACCTCGAGAGGTCATCTAGTCCAGTCCCCTGCACTCATGGCAGGACTAAGTATTATCTAGACCATCCCTGACAGGTGTTTGTCCAACCTGCTCTTAAAAATCCCCAATGATGGAGAGTCCACAACCTTCCTAGGCAATTTATTCCAGTGCTTAACCACCCTGTCAGGAAGTTTTTCCTAATGTGGAACTTAAACTACCCTTGCTGCAATTTAAGACCATTGCTTCTTGTCCTAGCCTAAGAGATTTACAAGAACAATGTATCTGCTTCTGCCTTGTAACAACCATTTATGTACTTGAAAACTGTTATCATGTTCCCTCTCAGTTTTCTCTTCTCCACACTAAACAAACCCAATTTTTTCAATCTTCCCTCACAGGTCATGTTTTCTAGACCTTTAATCATTTTTGTTGCTCTTCTTTGGACTTTCTCCAATTTGTCCACATCCTTCCTGAAATGCGGTGCCCAGAACTGGACACAATACTCCAGTTGAGGCCTAATTAGCGCAGAAGAATTACTACTCGTCTCTTGCTTACAACATTCCTGCTAATACAAGAACAAGTGAGAAATCTTCCTTGCGCCACAGAGAATTGTATTGTATCATTAGCTCTGGATTAAATATACATTCATTGATCGCCAGTTTCGTTGCACCTGATTTTCATCAATTCCTCTGTCTATGGTAAACATCCACTACTGCAGCTCCCTCTGCCTCTTACTAATTCGGGCTAAAGCCTCAGCAGGCTGTAAATCAGCATCACTCCAATGACGTGGGTGAGGCCATGTCAAATTACAATTGCCAAGGCTCTGAGTGTCTCTTTTAGTCCCTATACTCACACTGCCAGTGCCTGCCTTTCCGTCTCTAGAAATGGCCCAGCCTCGGCTGATGCTGTTTTGCAAAGCTTCTGAGGGCATATGTAAAGCTTACTCAGATTCTGATATCAACCTCAGTTACTCTGGTGTGAAGCCAAGGTGGCTCCCCTGAAGCCATTACTCTGGATTGGTACTGGGGTGACTGAGAGCAGAATCTGGACTTCAAGGATCTAATCTTCTCTTTACCCAAACCTGGTTGTGTAAATTAAACCTTGAGTTATTTCCAGAGAGATTCAATCTGAAAACGATAAGAAGTGATGAGACATTTATGATGCCAGGAAGCTTGTGATGGTATAGTTGGCACATGACGGCAGTTTGGTATGCTGGATAGCATATGTACTTGGCCAGCCACTGCTCAGAGTTACCTCTGTGTAAATGCTGAGTAAGAGAAAGGATGATCTTGTAATTAAGGCACTGGACTAGCACTCAGGTGTTCCTGGTTAAACTCTTGACTTTGCCACATGCTTTCTGTGTGACCTCGGCCTAGCCAATATAAATCGTTGTGCCTCAGATTCCCCTATGTGTAAAATGATAATGGTAATGATGCTTTCCTTCTTCTTGGAGGTGGAGCTAAATTCATTAATATTTGTGAAATGCTGAAACACTTGGTGATGGGGGCCCATCTAAGCAGATGGATAATTGCAATGAAACCAACAATTACTCCAGTTTTATGATGGTTTAAGTGAAAGAAGACTCTTGGCCCACTGTCTACATTATTCTCATTAGAATTGTCTCCCCCTCTGTGCTCTGTTTTTCCCCACATATTTCTCCCTCTGCCTCTCTTGATGCCCTATTTTTCACCATCCTCCCACCTACCTCCGCCTCAACTCTCCTTCTTTCTTGCATCCTCTCCGAAGCAGAATGTGAACCCAGTACTGTTTGAAGTCATATCAATCCCGTGAGCCCATGGTGTCCCAGTGGTTTTGACATGAGTGACAATGACCCATCCCTAATAAAAACAGGGTAAAATGTGTCTCTGCCAGCAGGAATGCAGGACTGAGCCATCCACGTGCTACCTTATAATCAGATTAATGTTCACATCCTCTGGCAAAAAAACATACTGTACCAAAGACAAGACGTGCTTGTTATTTGCTTAGCTGTGCACTGGTTTCCGGAGGTACCGAGTAACTTGTAAGCTTTTTCCACTGGCTCGGGTTTTACAACAAGAGGAGAGTTTGGGTAAGTGATTAAGAGTTGCACAAACAGCTTTTCATCACCCTGGATGGCATTTGCATTATAAACCAGGCAAATTATATTGATAGTCAGTTACAGGTCTTACCTGTGCTGGGTGCTGTAATGCCGTCCTCTGGAGGAGCCAGACCCTGAAAGAAAAGGAAGGGAGCCGATATTTATTCTAGGGCCTATAAATACTTGTATTAAAGGTACAGAGTGGTTTCAAGTTATGTTCTATTACATTCTGTCCCTGAAGAGTGAAATTCAACCTGAGCAGCAGACCAGCGCAAGGCCTTATCCATCACTTATGTCCCATGGTGTCCTACAAGCAAGAGGTGGTTTATTTCTAATTTTATTTTGTCTGTCCTCCAATTCGGGCTGCGACTAGAACCAGAAGTGCTGAAATGACAGGCAAAAGGATCTTTGCTCAGTGGCCACAAGGAGGAAATACCTGAAAATGTCAAGGGAACATACTTGACAGTGAGCTAAAGTCTAGTGACTCCTGCTACGGTTAGCTGGGGAGAAGGAAGAAAGGTCAAGAGTAAAAGGCATGACTTGGTTCTGATTCTGTAAATCTGTCTGAAGCACAAGGATCAGCCTTGTGATCCCTTCCATTCCTCCAAGTCCTGAGGTGCTAGTCCTAAATGTCCATGAATGTTTTTAATATAACACTCTGGCCAGCGGTGCCTGTGACCCCCTTCTGTGACTGACCCACAGATCAGCTGCTACTGCTCTCATCTAAGGCACTTCCTCCTTTAGTCCAAATGGTAGAAGTTTGTACTGTGTTACTAGAGCTCTATTTAGGTACTTATATGACCCTTGTTACTGGTAATATCTGAGGGCCAGATCCTCAAAGGTAGTTAGGTGCCTAATTCCCAAAGGAAGCCAGTGGGAGTTAGGTACCTAAATGCCTCTGACAATCTTAGCCTGAGCGACTCACAGCCATTAATGGATTTTACCTTCTAAGGATCCCCGTGTGACGGGGAAAAATGCTATCTCCATTTTACAGCGGGAGAACAGAGGCATGGGGTAGAATGGGTGACTTGGCCAAGATCACTGAGGGAGGCTGAGCTGGAACTTAAATGCAAGTCTCCTGTGCTTCAATCCAGGGCCCTAGCCATTAGACCATCTTTCCCACTATGGGACCCCACAACAAGGAGTCAGAGCATTAAATCTCAGTGCAATATCCTCGGTTCTAAAAAGAGGTGGGTGTATTTTGCCACGTGAAGAAGGAAACTTTGCATCTACAATTACATTTCACACGGGCTGTCGATTAATCGCAGCTAACTCACGCGATTAACTCAAAAAGTTTAATTGCGATTAAAAAAATTAATCGCGATTAATCTCACTGTTAAACAATAGAAAACCAATTGAAATTTATTAAATATTTTTGAATGTTTTTTCTACATTTTCAAATATATTGATTTCTATTACAACACAGAATACAAAGTGTACAGTGCTCACTTTATATTATGATTTTATTACAAATATTTGCACTGTAAAAATGATAAAAGAAATAGTATTGTTCACTTCACCTCATGCAAGTATTGTAGTGTAATCTCTTTATCGTGAAAGTGTAATTTACAAATGCAGATTTTTTTTTGTTACATAATTGCACTCAAAAACAAAACAATGTGAAGCTTTAAAGCCTACAAGTCCACTCAGTCCTACTTCAGCTAATCGCTCAAACAAGTTTCTTTACATTTACAGGAGATGCTGCTGCCTGCTTCTTATTTACAATGTCACCTGAAAGTGAGAACAGGCGTTTGCATGGCACTTTGTAGCCGGCGTTGCAAGGTATTTACATGCCAGATATGCTAAACATTCATATGCCCCTTCATGCTTCGGCCACCATTCCAGAGGACATGCGTCCGTGCTGATGATGCTTGTTAAAAAAAAAATGTGTTAATTAAATTAGTGACTGAACTCCTTGGGGGACAATTGTATGTCTCCTGTTCTGTTTTACCCGCATTTTGCCATATATTTCATGTTATAGCAGTCACAGATGATGACCCAGCACATGTTCATTTTACGAACACTTTCACAGCAGATTTGACAAAATGCAAAGAAGGTACCAAGGTGAGATTTCTAAGGATAGTTACAGCACTCGACCCAAGATTTAAGAATCTGAAGTGCCTTACAAAATCTGAGAGTGACGAGGTGTGGAGAATGCTTTCGGAGGTCTTAAAAAAGTAACACTCCGATGCGGAAACTACAGAACCAAAACCACCAAAAAAGAAAATCAACCTTCTGCTGGTGGCATCTGACTCAGACGATGAAAATGAACATGCGTCGGTCTGCTCTGCTTTAGATCATTATCGAGCAGAACCCGTCATCAGCAAGGACGCATGTCCCCTGGAATGGTGGTTGAAGTATGAAAGGACATATGATTCTTTAGCACACCTGGCACGTAAGTATCTTGCGATGCCGGCTACAACAGTGCCATGCGAACGCCTGTTCTCACTTTCAGGTGACATTATAAACAAGACGTGGCAGCATTATTACCTGTAAATTGTAACCAAATTTGTTTGTCTGAACGATTGGCTGAAGTAGGACTGAGTGGACTGATAGGCTCTAAAGTTTTACATTGTTTTATTTTTGAATGCAGTTATTTTTTGTACATAATTCTACATTTGGAAGTTCAGCTTTCATTATAAAGAAATTGCATTACAGTACTTTTACTAGGTGAATTGAAATATACTATTTCTTTTGTTTTTTACAGTGCAAATATTTGTAATCAAAAATAAATATAAAGTGAGCACGGTACACTTTGTATTCCGTGTTGTAATTGAAATTAATATGTTTGAAAATGTAGAAAACATCCAAAAATATTTAAATAAATGGCATTCTATTATTGTTTAACAGTACAATTAGTCGCTATTAATTTTTTTAGTTGCGCGATTAATCCCGATTAATTTTTTAATCGCTTGACAGCCCTACATTTCATTAAATGCAATCAGGCAGTGGTTCCACAGCTGTTTATAAAGGAGTGTTTTGCAAAGCAATCGAGCTATTAGCATTAGAGCGAGCCTTTCATCTTTCAAACCTTCCTCTGAGATGGAGGTTAGGGGGGAAAATATATAAATCTGACGACTCATAGTTTGCTGTGCAGATGGGGTGACTTGAGAAAAATTAAAATGCACTAATGTATCGCATTCCCTCTTGGAAAGTCTCAGAATGGATGGAGAATAACAGATACTAATGCATTTTATTTCAAGAATAATTGAGTAGACACCCAAATAAAACTTTAGTGTTTGCTTCTAAACGTTATTGGGTGGGTTTTTTTTTTCCTTTCCCACAGCAAGAAGATTGAGTTTAATGCTCTAATTTGAAATGTAAAGCGTTCCCCTCTAGGTGCTCAAAGAGATGAAATTGTATTGTACAGGCTTGGGAAAAATTCATTATAAATCTGCAATGGCTCTGTGTGCAGGGGATGAACGGTCTCAGTCATCACAAGCAGAGTGATTTGCGTTTGCTTCATTAGAGAAAACGATAATCATGTGCCAGGGAAAATCAGCTTTTAAAAAGGGCTTTTATAAAAAACCTTCCCTGGTGTCTCGGTTGTCATCTAATCAAAATCATCTTGATAAATGGCTCTTGCAGACCCCTCTCCCTGGGAGAAAACCGGCAAAGGTCATGTATCCCCTGACTGGAAAGGAATGATACCCATAATAATTAAACAACCGTGCAATTACAAACAACGAGGTGTGAGGATTACTGTGGCGTCAGATTCCAGCACATGCCCTGCAGAAGATAGAAGTAGGGATGGATGAATGAGCTTGGGGAAAAGAAGCACTCTTTTATCAGATTCCATGCCTCTTTTTAAAACGGAATTTGAATGCAGGGCCAAATTCAGCTAGTATAATTAGGTGTCACTTAGTTAACTTCAGTGCACTTGCACTGGCATGAGTCTGTTCTGAAATTTTCTTTCTTTCTTTCTTTCTTTCTTTCTTTCTGTTCAGATAACTTTTTTCAGCCACTTGTGAGTATCTCAACATCCAGGCTCCAACCAGAACCTACAACACTGAACTGTCACCAAAATCTCCCATCTGGGCCCATATGTGGAGAGAAAATCTATTGTTATGAGCAATTTAGCCTACATTTGCAGACCCAAGTGGTTTGAATTCAGTAGTTGGGCTAAGATTCAGATAAGCATCCCTATTTACAGGCATGGTATTCAACCTGACTCCAAATTCCCCGGGGTGAAGTCTTGAGAATTTGACCTTAGTGGGATGGTTTGCTATTGACTTAGTTGAAGCCATGAATTCACCCCCAACCATTTGAGATTCACCCTTGAATTGTGAGGATACAGGCTGAGTATCTTTAACTCCCTTAGGATTGAAAGTCCATTTTACCTGCATTCACACTGAAGTCGGGATTGGTCTTATAAAATCCACGTAAAGGCACTTAACTAACATAGTGCTATACAGAGCCATCAGGACAGCATCATTAGTTCAGGAGTTTTGGGGTGCTGAGTCTACACCACCGGAGTCATGCACGCTCAGCAGCTCTGAAAACCAGGCTCCAGGGGGGAAATCTTGGGCCTATCACCTCAGTGGGAGTTTTGCCCTAGGATGTCACCCTACTTAAACTATCTAGTATTAAAACAACAACAGTTCCCCATTTTTCTGCCTTTTAAGAGGTGCAAGAATATGAAGACAGAAAAATTAATGAATGAGCCCCAGCCATTACAGCTAGCCCCTATAGTCCCACAGGGCCTATAATCAGCTACCTAATTCTTAATCTTTGGATATACTTGTTACAAGCAGAGGCTGTAAAAGGTGCATCCTGTTGCACCAGCATCATAATGCTTCATACTTTTCATCTGAGGACCTCAACGTGGGTGAGCATCATTACTCTCATTTTACAGATGGGGAAACTGAGGCAGAGACAATTTAAGCAGCTTGCCCAACCTCTCACATAGTCAATGGCAGAACTGGGACTAATGATCCACAACTTCTGGCTCAAGCCTCGCACTTGGCCTGAGACGGGGCATCATTACAAATGCAGGCGTAACTACAAGGGAATGATTTTAGTGCCGGCGAACGGTACCAGGCTGACAGCCTAGGACAGTGAAGGATACTGTTTAACCATAGAAAAGTTACAGCCTGGGTTTGAGCAGAGCAGATGGGTCTTGCTCCCATCAAGATGCCTTAGTCCTGTTTTGCAGGGTTCTATTTTAGGAGTGTGTGGCTCATTTTCCATGGTATTCAGTTCTTGCTGTCTCTGCCAAGTTTGCCCACCAGGGGGCACTCTTTAATGCAAACTGCAACATGTCCACGTAGGAAATAGAGTGAAATTTTTCGAAATCATGTTGGCCAGTATACTACACAGCCATCGGATAGGAATGACTTTTGGTCTGTACTGAGCTGGGCTGGATTCCAGCTGGTGAAATTGTTCTAGAATTTTAACTTTAACAGGTTTCAAAACTAGACCATTCCGTATAATTACTGGGCACCAACGTATAAAACTTTGCATCATTGCTGTAATAGGGCTGAACAGCTCTGGGGAAAAAACCAAACCCTATCAGGTTAGAAACATGAGCATTTAGAAACCCCTGAAACGTCCTGTCCCTGTGTGTAGTTATGATGGCTGATAAAATACAAGCTTGGGGATGAATGGGGTGTACTATTGCCATGTTCACTGCAACATTTTGCTACCGCCTGGTAATTTAAGGCTGGTGCTCCATAATAATTATTGTTTACATCACACCCTCTGCCCCCATGTGCATCACGGAATATATACCTACAGCAGCAATGAAACACAGACACCTCTGAGGTGCCGGGCATCAGTCTCTCACAGCTGCAATCAGAAAGGGAAATTTTGTCCAAGGCCCCGCCATGGCAAACCCTTCCACTTTTATGAAAAACAAGATCTCACCTAAAAGAGCGAGATTCAGTCAACTGGAAGATGTTCAATGTATCTCTAGCAGAAGCATGAAGAACTGAGCCGACTCTGTCCCAATACATAGTTCCACGGAGTCTAAACTTACACTGCTAAGCCATGGCCTCTAGAGAAGTGGGCGTGAAGAAGACTTTTTTTTGGTGCACTATAAAATGCACTAGGATGGATTATTATTTAATGACATTTGCATTAGATCCAGAGGGATGATTGGATTTATAGGTGTTTATTGTGGTCTTCTATGTTGTATACTCTATGTTCGGGTCATCTTGATTTCAGGTCTGCAGAGCTCCTGTGCTTTTTTATTGAATTTCACCTTACGTAAGGTCCTTCAATCTGAACCTTTTTTTTTAGTGGAAATTTGTTACGAGGGAGATTTTCAACAGCATAAATGAGGGCTAGGCAGCCAACTTCAGGGCTGGCTCCAGGCACCAGCTGAGCAAGCTGGTGCTTGGGGCGGCACATTGTTGGAGGCGGCATTCTGCCCAATCCTAGGGCGGCCCGGCCGCTTTTTTTGGTTTTGTTCTTGTTACGCTCCGGCCGCCCTGTAGGGGGCAGCAGCATGGAGAACCAGAGCGCCCTGCAGGGCAGTCCTCTTCCTTCCCTCCCCGCCGACCAGAGCAGAGCCCTCGCGGCAGGCAGCAGGAGGCGGCGCAGCGGGAGGGGCCACGTGGCAGCGCCCCCGCCCGCTCCCTCCCCTTCCCGCCCCCCCCAGCCGGTCCCCCTGCACCTGCGCCCTGGCCAACTTCCATTGACTGTCAACAGGCACTGGCTACCTAACTGCCCTGTGTGCCTTTGGCAGTCGCCCATCAAGCCAGCTGGAAAAGACTTTCGAGAAAATCAAACCAGCCGCTGGGTCTGCTCCAGCAGCACGGTTGGGTGCAGTGTGTCACAGCACTGAGCCCTATGAGCCATGTGGGTCCGACGATGAGAACTTCTAAAAAACACCTGCATTGTGGGGGTGCATTGAAGAAAGCACCTAGACTAGAGGATCCCCTAACTCAACAGCAACAAACTTAGTTCTCAGAGGAGTTCCTGCCCCGTCTGACACTGAGCATGAGCACGAGGGAGGATGCTTGTTCCAAATGAGAACCGCATCCCACTGAGGAACTGCTCATGGGGTGGCACAGTTCTTCATTTGGGCTTGAAGGTTAGTCACTTCCCCATTGACGGAGAGTAAAGGGACCACAGGGAGATGATTTAAGCATGTGAGTTCTTTAGTGTCTTGAAAGCAAGACCAGGAGACACGTTCCTTACTCCCTAATCCCCCCATGCAGCACAAAATTGCAGCATGATTCTCTGCATCACACGCCTGAGCTATCAGCTTGCCGCTTTCTCCTTTTGCAAGCTCTGTTTCCAAAATGAACAACCTTAATCCTTCATTATCATTCCTCTGGCATTTAGTGTAACAGCATTTATCCTGATGCAGCGCTAATTCAGTGTTAAATTTACTGTTAATAAGTACTACTGGAACCAACATTATGTGGGATCTCTGCAGTAATTAAGTAATCCATTATTTTAGATGTTTCCTTAGTGTCCCATTAGTTGATTATTATGTTAAAATACCTGAATCTCATTCTGACTACGCTTACACTGGTTTTCCCATAGTGTAACAACCTTGATTTCAATTAGGTAACTCCTTATGTACACTGATGTAACGGAGAGATGAATTAGACCCTGAGGTTTCATTTTTAGGTAAATTCCAGATAGTTCCATACACACTCGATTTAGTAATTCAAGAGAAAAGAACATGATGGGTAGCATTTTCCAGTCCAACTTTTTCCCATAAAGCTGGGTCTTTAGCTACTGTAGCTTCCCTTCTAACAGGTGCAGTGGGGCATCTTCAGAACTTGGATTTATAATAAGATTTCTAACCCGACTGGGTGAAAGCCTGGCTCCACTGAAGGCAATGGCAAAACTCTCGCTAATTTCAATAGCTTCAAGATTTTAGTCACTATGTCCATAATCAACTGCACAGAGAATATAACCCCATTGCCCCATCCTGAAATACACCATTGGCTCCCCATTCATTCCAAGATCTAGCTCAGAGCTGTCCTCTTTTATTTTCAAATACTCCACGGGCTTGTCGACAACCTACCTCAGAGTTCCCATTTTTCTTGCTCCTTATCTGCAGTTAGCACTGACCTGCTTTCTTGTTCCTTCCTCCAAACTTGACACTCAGTTCAAGAGCCTTATCCTCTGCAGCTTGTGCTAGTTTGGAACAGCTTCTCTGCCTCCCTCTACTCCAGTGTCCTCTCCATTGTTTTCCAAAGCCAATCTGAAAACATCTATCCTCCTCCCTCACTTATGTCCCCTTATGTCTCTCTCCATCTGTTAATGAGCTTGAAATCTGAATGCTTGCAGGAATGTACCATGCAATGCCTTTGAAGCATTGTTTCTCCCCACCCCACACACTTTGCAAACTACCATTACTTGCAAATACATGGTGTCATACACAGTGGTTCCTTCTATCACATCAATCAATAAAGAATTTTGGCAAAGCATCACAGTACTATAAGAATTGCTATGGTGGATCAGACCTCAGGTCCACCTAGCCCAGTGTCCTGCCTCTGATGGTGGCCAGAACCAGATGCATTAGAGGAAAGTATAAGAACCACGCAGTAAAAACCTCATTCTAGGCACTCCTGATGGATTATGTCCTGAAGCAATGGGTTTTCTATTTCCCTTGCGTGGAAGATATTGTGCACAAGAAACTAGTATTTTACTTAGAGAAAATAAATAATTTCCTTATAACATCTCTCTCTTTCTCTTCCGCTGTTTTGCCTTTAGCTTCCTAATCTACATTTTGTGCACTGAACCTCCAGTTGCAAGAACCCTTTTAGAGAGCGGGAGGAAAAAAGAGACCGAAGGAGAAAAGTTGGCAGTGACTTACCTTCCTCTGAACAATTAAGACCATGATGGTTGCTAGAGCAAAGACGAGGCACACCGTGAGGGAAGCTGTGGTGAAATAGAAGTATGTTTTGTTGGTGGCACTGAGCCTCCTTGAAACACCGTCTTCAGTCATGGCCATGGCTGCTTCATGAGAATCATTCGCCTGGAAAAATGTTTGCTCTGGTGAGGAGCACATTCTTATATAGCCCTCAGTGTATCACTCCGTATCTCCCCTTGATCAGATTCTCATTCGCAGCCCATCTCCACTCCTAGCAGGATTTTCCCCCTTCATCCTGGGCTCATGTGATCTGGAAAAAAAGCTTCATCATTCGTCGTACGAAGAAAAAGGGACCCGGGGGCGTGAGGCAGGATGCAGCCGTGAAGAGGGGAAGGAGCTTCATGTTCTTGATCAGGGATTTCATGAAGGCAGCCTCTCATGCTGCACCGGAGGTTTCTGATGTCAGAAGGTGAATGGTAACCAAGGTTCGGTCCCCCCCCTCCCCTTCCACCCTCTTTCTGTGAAACTGAGTGCAAGGCAAATGCTGTTTCACTTCCGACTCAACTACAGTGATAGTTCAGTACAGTAAATCACCCCAGCCGATATCTTCCTGTTTCACAGTGTAGTTCCTTCTCATTCTTAGTCAAGCGTTGTAGGACTGTGATCTCCTTTTCTCCTCTGGAGATCCGGGTCCAGGTGTGATTGAGCCAACACGAGCTTGGTGAACATGGAAACATTGGGTGGGAGTGTCATAAGTGCCTACATGACTTAGGAACACAAGTCCCATTGAAAGTCCGTGGGAGTCTGGCTCCTCAATCACTTTGGGCATGTCTACACTGCAGTTGGCAGCGTGCCTCCCGGCCTGGAGAGACAGACTCACACTGGCGCTGCCTGAGCTAGCATGCTAAAAATAGCAGTGTGGCATTTGCAGCATGGTGGCACAGCAGATTCAGAGCTGAAAAGACCTTGCAACGGCCTGACAGCAGCAATTCTGCTGGGAGGGACTGTTGGATGGACTCCTTTCATGGTGGACTCCAGAAAAATAGCTCAGGTAGGAAGATGGCTGCCTAGAAAAGAAGGGTAGTTTTGTGGCGAATGAAGTAGCTTGTGTCTCAGCAAAACCAGTTTTGATTCCAGTGAGCTGTGGCACACCACACAGTCCATCTGTGCCTCAGTTAGACAGCTATAAAATGGGGACAATAATGCCTTTTTGCTCTCCTGTCTCTTTAGACTACACGGTGTTTGCACTGAGACTTGCTCTTACTATGTGTAGTACCTGGCACAATGAAGCCCCAGTCTTGGTTGGCCCTTAGGCACCACTGTAATAAACGTGAGTAAGAGTAATACACCGGTACTGTAGTACATAGAATCATTCTAATAGGCGGGCACGCAGATCTGATGCTGGTGACGGTTGTATAATGAAGTTTGGTGGGAAAAATGACTGGACATCTTAGGTCAAATTCAGCCCTGGTGTAAAGAAGCACAATGCTCATTGAATTGTTTCTCTGCCATTTTCTGCGCTAAGGTGAATATTGGATTTTAAACCACTCCTTACATTGGCATTAAGCAACTGCGTTATCTGGCCAAGCCGATCCTTCTCCAAGATGTTTTCAGCAGTTGTCCAATAAAATAAAAGAGAAACATCTTCCTCTATGAACGCTCCTTTTCCTGGTACCCATTCAGCACCTGGCCACTCCTTGTAGAACTCTGCTCTTAGTCTCACAGCTGTGTCACTCGTGAGTGCAGGCTGTTACTTAAAGACAGCAAACACAACAATGTAAACATAGGCACAAACACAGCTTCCCCTTTTATATGAAAAGTGTATACCTGTGTTAGGCAGCACGCTCCATTTATCAAAAGTGTCTGCATCTACATCCCCATATGGACTGTAGGAAATGTCTTGCATTACTGGGGTAACTTAAGATATGGGGTTATCTTAGAGCCATTAGCAACTTTCTAATGGTATCCATTGTAGTGTGAACAGATGCTTCATAAACTCCCCCATAACTGAGTAGTAAGAGACACTGCACCTCATTAGCCAATCAAAGCATGGGGAGCTTAGGGTGTGAGTGGCAAGTGTTGTGTGTAGGGAGCTGGGAGAGGATTCACTACAGTTGAAAACAGGCTTATGTGTCCCATAAACACTGACCTGGGTGCAACTAAAACATTTTCAAACACATCTCCATGGTGATGTTCCATCTCTCCATGGATTCTGTCATCAGTCCTGGAGTCCCTCCCCTATCATCTCCCTGGTTATCTAGTGACCTGCTGGAATGCAGTCCTGCAGCGTCTTGCATACAGCTTCAAGGAGCTTCATATGAACATATTCTCCCACACTGCGGCGGTAGAGGCTTAAAGGCAGAGTGTAGCCAGGTCTTTGCGTTGACTCTTTAATACACAAAATGTGGCACATTGTAGCATCTGCAGCCCAGATCTTTTCTCTGCCTTTGTGTGAAAGGACAAGAAGGGAGAAAACAAGTGAACCACAAAACCAGCAATGCTATTTCTTTGCAGAGTACACAAGTGACTTCTCTTACAGGGAAACAGAAGAAAAGCCCTAGCTCCAACGTAACTTCACTGCACTAGTTTCAAGTGGAAAGGAAAAATATCAAACTTGTTGCATGGGCTCAAGTTATCTGACATGGCTTATGTAAAATTCACCCCTGCATGAAGTCACTGTGAACGGAGGCTCCTCAGTACCTCTCATGAGGCACTTACCCTCTCTCTGAAAGAGGTCCAGGTGCTGTCAAAATCGTCCTCTTCTTTTGTATGCCCTTGTAGCCCTCCTGCCAGAATCTGGCCCCTAGTTTATGAACAACTAACTTAACTCTAGGCAGATTTTTGTCATGAACCATAACATACATTTGATGAGTCAGAAGGATGTAGATGAAAAATGAATAAAAGGTCTTACACAGCCAATATTTGGTATTAGGGGAGAGGGCCTCTGACTCATCGCCACGTTGAACCACTCAGACAGCCCCCTCCAACAAGCAGTGCCCATCATTTTAGACTCAGCTGCACTTCTGTACCACACGTCCTTACGATTACACTGGTAAAGCATTGGAAACCGGAAATGCAGAATCAGAAAACGGAGGTTATTGAAAATATGTATGCTCAAGATGAGTCACACCTTTTAAAATTCCCACAGTGAATCATTTTCTCGCATCTCTCTTTGGCCTACATTATATTATAGATCGGGGCCTGGGTGGGTTGAGTAATGCATTCAGAACTTTCTGGGACACGGATGCCGTTGTGAGGGACCTTTCCACCGTGAGCGCTCTGATGCATCACTCAACGGATGCTACCATATTCTGCACGGCTGCTTTAAAACTTAGGGGTTCAGCCCTTGAAGTTGAATAGGTTGCATCCACCCTACCCTTCCCAGATTGACAAATGGCAGTAGGTTGATGCAGCTTGATGGGAGAGGAGTCCCAGAGCTGCGGGTTTCCAGGACAGAAATGGGTGTGTCCACATGGAAAAAGCTGGGAAACACTGAATACAATTTTCAAAAATACCTAAGGCCCAGATTCTCCAAGGTATTGTGGGACCTAACGCTCATGGAAATCAATGGAAGTTAGCCACCTAACTACCTTTGAGGATCTAAGTGACTTAGGAGCCTAAGTCCCACTGAAAGTCAATTATTCCAACTGAGACAAAGTTGAAAATCAATGGGACCTAGGAACGTAAGTGTTACTGTAACAATAACCGTTGAAATAATTGGAAACTGACTCATGTATCATGTGGTTCTGATCTTGGCCGGTGACTGGGGCAAATAAATAAAGTTAATGATACTGTGTGTGTTACACACTTATTACTGTTACAACAATATTGGGGGCTGTTACAATAGACTATTCTTTTAAAGAGAGTGCTATGGAGCTCCCGCCTAAGACTTCCTCCTTTGGGATATATGGGAGGAAAAAAACAATCAATCGAAATTACTGAACCAAACTAGACATAAGACAGGGAGAAAAACAGAGGTTAAATCAGCAATTTGTGCGGTATTATCTCCCCGGGAAACTGCACAGTGTTTATTCTTGCTGTGAAGCCAGCTTTCTTGTTCAAAGGGAACACATCAGTCAGCCTTTCAAGGCAATAGGAGAGCAGGTATATCAAATTAGCGGTAAATTGCCTGTAGGGGACAAAAATCTTTTTATAACAGTAGGCGATGCGCATCATCCATCGTTCTCAAAGTACAGTACATAGCGAAACTAGTGGCATTAAGGCAGATAATAAAATGCAATAGTAATCCAATACAAACAGAATGGTTATAATAGTGCAATAACTCACATAGATTTTTCAGGTAATGCATTCCCTCAGTTGGAGTTATTGTCTGCCATGGACTATAATAGTTCTGTCTGCATAGCATCCTCTCCAAACACCTGGGCTGTTCGACCGTCTTTGGTATCTCACAGCAGGACGCATTAGGTAAGATTTAATAAAGATGGAAATTTTCTTTTCTGGGTCCGATACCATTTGATAGTCTCATCCGTGCCTTGGAGGATGGAATGGAGAGGGTGATAGGGAAACTATGAAGCTGAGAGAAAAGGGAATGTTAAGATTAACATACAGTATGAGCCAAGACCAGATTTTTCAGACGTCTAGTAGTGATTTGGGGCGTTTCAATTTCCGAGTGCCTAATCTGAGACACCTGAAAGAAGGCTAATTTTCAGAGGGCGGCTGCTCAGTGCTTTCTGCAAATGGCCTCTTCAGGGTCTCTGCAGCTGGGTACCCAAGATTGGAGTCACCCAAAATCTCAGGACACTTCGGCAAAGCTTGGCCTGGGAAGATCAGTGGAATGGTTTCAAGTCACTGAATGAGGGTCAAATACAGGCAACAATAAATTGACTCAGATGATAAGGAGGAATAATCAAATGCACACACAAAAAAGCCCTGATCCCAAACCCATCGAAGTGAATGGACCAGGTTCCCATTGACCACGATGGGCTTTGGAAGTTCCCCACAGAGAGCATGATCTTGACACGAGGCCAACTTGCATTGAAATCAGGGGTATTATGCATGCCCAGAATTTGCTGATTAAAGGAATGTTTGCTTTGTCAAGGATTAGAATCATCATAGAATATCAGGGCTGGAAGGGACCTCAGGAGGTCATCTAGTCCAACCCCCTGCTCAAAGCAGGACCAATCCCCAGACAGATTTTTGCCCCAAATCCCTAAATGGGCCCCTCAAGGATTGAACTCGCAACCCTGTGTTTAGCCGGCCAATCCTCAAACCGCTTACAGAGAAAGATCTTGGGCTCACAGTGCAGGACACAGCCACAGATTTTAAAGACCATTAGATCATCTAGTGTGACCTCCTGTGTAATACAGAGCCTAGCATTTCATCCTGTTATTCCTAGAATATGCCAATAACTTGTGTTTGACTAAAGCAAATCACACGCATGACAAAATATGACTGGAGGCAAATAAATCAATGATCAAAGAAAGAAAGAATGGGATCACCTTTGTTTACCCCTTCGCTTTCA